CGTGGTGGAAATCAGATCTATCCATTCTATCGGGTACCCCGGGTCCATAAGGGTTCAGTCCTACAACATCGTGAGAAAAGCCTTCATGAAGATGCTTCTTGGCTCGGCTGAATTCGTTTAGTATAATGGCGCCAAAACGTTCAATAGTTTGAACAGTGAGGTTGTATGATTAGACGTGATATAAGTTGGCATGCTGCACATATAATATTTTTTCTCGTTTCTCGCGTTGTGTCTACACTCTTTGACAATCGTTAAAATGAAGTCGTTTTTTTGTTTCTCAGTCATTCTTTTGGCGCGCTCTGTTGTATCGGAAAACATTCCTTTTTGTGCTCCAGCTCCAGCTCGAGTAAAATATTGTGTATTGGTATGTTAGGCGATATTGATATTGATATAATGTAGCTGATTGTAAAACAGGACGATTGTCTTCAACCATTAATCAATCAGACCACCTCAGGACCTCGGTTCTGTGGCAAATATTTAGAGAATGACAGCATCAATATTCCCGATTATATTCCAGCTGCAGCTCCAGCATCTCGTATCTCATCTGCATGTTCTTGTTTAATTCAGGCTCAGCCTACAGCAAAGCCCACCACGCAGTCGTCAAATGCTGTAGGCTCTATTGACCTTTCAGTCTCTACTAAAACATTTCCTTCTCTCGAGACGTCTGTTCGAACTATTCACTCTGGAACAGTGTCCGTAGTCCCTACATCTTCACCAGCCATTCCGGGGTCGGGAAATCAAGTCACCACCTCGATCATATACTCTCTCTCCACTTATACTACTCAGTTAAGTGGACTATTGGTAACAAAAACCCAGTCTGTGGTCGATTCTACCACAACTTACACTGTCACCCATGAGATTACACAAAGCCCAAGTCCCAAATCAACGGCACCAGTTGGATACACCACATCAATAGTGTACACCTTGTCTAGTTACACAAACCCAAGCGGTGAAGTTATTACGAAAACAATCGTAGACTACACAACAGTTTGTCCTGTCACCGCCAAAATTACTTCAACTTCTCAAGCACTGGGAGAGTTGGCTAGTGAAAGCACAACTCCATATGAGACATCGACAATTTACAAAATTTCGACATACACGACCCTTGGGCAGACAATCACAAAAACTCTAGTAAATTATTCAACCGTCCGTTCTATCACAAAGGCATTGTCCCCAAGTCCAACTCCCAAATCGACGGTTGAATATACAACATCAACTGTATATTCTCTCTCCACTAGAACATACACGTCCAGCGAAGAGACTTTCACAGTAACAGATACCGTCGTTGATTACACGACTGTTTGTCCTATCACAGAAAAGTCTTCCCCAACTCCAGAACCAACAGTTCAATATACGACTTCAACAGTCTATTCTCTTTCAACCAGCACGTATATTACTAGCGGGAAGGCTGTTACTGTGACCAATACCGTGGTTGATTACACAACTGTTTGCCCTGTCACCCAGTCAGCATCTTCAACGCAGGGCACTTCATCGCTCATCACATTCCCTTCGGCGGCTTCATCCACTGAGAGTGTAATTTTGACTTCAGCCTCCGACAGTTCAATTGTTCCCTCATCCGTATCTGTTTCAGCATCGGTTTCCAGCAGCTCAATCGCAGTTCAGTCAACAAAAACAAGATCGCGCCACTCCCGCACAAAGTGTACAAAGGCTTCCCACTCTACACAAAGCTATTCATTCGGAAATTCCACATCTTTATACCGACCTACTGGAACTGGAAGCTCGAGCCCTTCTTCCATATCCGGAACTGCATACTCATCATCGGTTAGGTACCCAATGAGCAACTCCACAACATCAGACCTTCCTCTAGGAACTGCATCTTCAACTGCTCACCAAGTGACAGACTCTACTCGATTGCAAGTTCCTTCAGGAACTGGATACTCAGCATCTTCGACAGCTTATGTAATTGCAAACTCCACAAGCTCGAATGTTCCTTCGGGAACCGGATATTCAGCCCCGGCGAATTCCACAACCACGGAAATTCTCCCGACCAGCACTTCCAGTCTAGAGATCAATAGCAGTACTTCAGAATCACCAGAAACTACTGAGATTCCTATTACAAGCGCTCCATCTACAACATCAAGTCTTGTACTTCCTTCTGTAACTGCATTTTGTAGTACAGACGCGGCTGCCCTGGTATTTGCAGCAGCTGGTACACCAGTAACTTCTTATTGCAGCAGTCTACTCTCCATCCAGCCAACTTACGCAGATGAACAGTACGTTCTCGTCACAAAGACAACTTTAGTCACAACTACCACCACCGTCAGCCCCGCAACTGTCACCGTTTTCAAGAGAACGACAAGGACTGACCCATATCCATTCACATCAACATATGATCTAGCTCAACAATCATCAGCTTGCAGCTGTCTTTCAATCCAACCAGCCGTGATCGCCGAGACTGTAACAATAACAGTTCCTGCAACATCCTTGGTCGTTGTCTCGACTACAATTCCAGCTTGCACTCCATCACCTACCCAAGTAGTTGTCAATGGTGATTTTGAAACCGCAACATCGGGATCTTATCAGACGCCATGGGTTCTTAGTAGTTTAGCCTATGTACAATCTAAGGTTAATAATGCATTTACTTCATATTCTGGCGATAAGTTTGTGTAAGTTCCCTTCCTCTCTCTTGACTCTCTATCCAATTATCGAAAGCGAAACTAATGTCCCATAGCGCCCTTTTTGGTCAACGCTCGACTACAGCCACCATATCCCAGCAAATTGATTCCCTCGTCCCCGGCCAATCCTACACTCTTCGTTATTACATGTCAGTAACGGGAACCATCGTCTTGCCAACAGCTTCTTGTGTTGTGTCTGCTTCCGTGGGAGGAGTAGTTGTCGATACAGCAACGATTACGTACTTGAATATCGCGAGTTATAAAACTGGCTATTCACAACGCTCGGTAACGGTAGTTCCGATAACTCAGTCGGCACAGTTGAAAATGACTTGGCAGTGTGGCAGTCAAGCTACTATTGCAGTGGATCTTTTGCTGGATAATATTTCGATGGTTGGGGCGGGTCAGAGTTGTGATGTGTCTCCTTAGTTATTAGAGCGGTTATAGAATAATAGAGTAGATAATTTTAATAGAAGACATTTCCCTGTCTGTGGTTTAGTTCGGTTTTAATACCTACCATATGTTACAGATCTGTCTCTTACTCCAGTCTTGGAACATGATTTTTGTACGGTTTTCAATGCGCAGGGTCCTGATACCATGTAAATATTTTATACATATCGTGTCCAGTGCATGGCTCAGTTTACTGTAGTTCCTCGCTAGGATCTAGATCAATGGTAAAGTCTCCGATGACTCGAGTTCGAATCACGCCCGGAAATCAGACAAATTCCCCGCATAGTTTCACAACATAGATGCTCATCCACAAGTGAGACATTGGATAGAAATCTCTAGCCAATTCCAAGGCATAGACGCGCTTTTACAATCAATTCATGATATGGATGTCGACGCTAACAATCTCATCAACTATCGTACTTCATCTTGATACTTCGGCCCAGGCCTTGAGAAACCCAGAATGTTTTGGAAAAGCATTTATCTCTACAGTTTGTATATTGACTATGGTTTTTCAGCTCGTCTACTCGCATCATCTAGATAGTTACCACAGTTCGATATACCAATAATACGAAATATATGAACGGAAATTCCGGTCCGACTATCAAATACACATAGACGGATACTAAGCTGATTCTTTTCCAGAACGGTGGGACTATCACACTGCACTCTTGGATGCATGGTTTGGGAATTTTTCCTATGGCTTGGGATGGATAGCTGGATAATATCGCTCACTGCATAATATCGCTCAGCCAGGGAGAGCGAAGCGGGGAAAACGAACGAACATCCCCGCGAAACAAATTTCGACTCGATCGATAGGTTTATCAACTGTAAAGCCAATGCAACGATTATTTTACTGCTATGATTGTTTTTAGAGCTGCGTTCGGGCATGTTCGAATGGTATGCCAGCGACTAACTTTGTCGCAGCATGTTAGCCTTCCTCGACTAGCCTTTTGAGGAAACTAACAGCAATGTAACTTGGGAGTTTCGGTGGTGTTGAAATGATTACCGTAGGTTCTAAGATCTCAAAAGGAATATTTTGATACATATTGTTCTTGGTACTGTTGTGGCTTCTAAGGTCTAGTCCGGATACGTGATGCATCTCACCCGCCATAGGCTTGTGCTTGTGCTTTTGAGTTGGAGTCGGGAGCCGGTTTTTATCTTGTAACACGGCATGTTCATTGGTATCAGAGTGGAATGAGAGCTCGTACTACCTACTCCCTGTTCAGAATGAATTGAAATCGTTTTGTTTTTGGGCTGATGGTCGAATCGGCAGTTGTTATATCTGCCGTTCTCGGCACAGCACAGGCCCAAATGTGATAGAAACCAGTTCTGAAATATAGTTTAGACAAACGGTAGAATGTATCCTTGAATTTGAAGTCTCAATCCAAACCCCATAGAGATTATCTGCCATCTCCGGATTATGCAATATACGTAGTACCCCACTGGATTAGTTAAAGTTTCCCGCTGTCAAAAGGTGGCTGAGCTAAATTTAGAACATCCATAACCAGGATCCATTCTGATTTGCCTCGGGAATGCTCAGGCTTCTAGAAACATGTGGCGCGATCAACGACAATCTACTAACATACCACTTTCCATTTGTACTCTACATTGTCTTCAGAAATATCTAAACATATAACACAAATTCAGACGAATTCTCGTTCATATAAACACTATTCAGACCGTTCATTTTCGTTTCATTCGCACAGTTCAGGCTAATATCATGATAGGGCATGTCTCATTACCATAACGCCATTGTTGGAATCAAACATGTTGTTCATTAATTTATTGCTTTGAATGATGGGATGGTTACATGAAATTGAGCTCGCTAGGAGTCTCAATACTACCAAACCTCAAATCTTCCTCTGATTTGCCTCTATTTACATTCACCCCATCGAATCAGCTTGGGTATTTCCCTCTTCAATACAGAACCTTCGTACTTTCCTCAACGGTATGTTCCCAACCACAATATACACATTTCCTACAATCCGGTCTCAACATTTTCCACTCTCCACATGTGACACATCTTCTAGCCAATACATCTCTGTCAATCTTGTCCGCTACAAAGTTGAGATCATCATCGTACCAGCGCAACAATCCCGCCCATCTTCCCTTGTATTTGCCACTGGCCATCGCTCTTTCCAAATGCTCAGCAGAAAGTTTCTTGACATCATCAACAGTTTCCTGGGAAATCTTAGCATGCGGAGGTCCATCCAGTATCTCAATGGCCAGTTTGCTGAACGTAATATATTCCTCTTGGTTGGAACCCCAATCCCACGTTGTGAGAAAGTCATGCACGTTTTGCAGATTCAATTTCTTGGCATTTTGAAATTTTTCGTTTCCGGTTCCGCATAAGTATTGCCAGATAGGTCCTATTGGTCCGATCTGTGGGGATCGCATACACATGTAGTTGAAGACGTTCATGCGTTGATTGTTAGGAACACGGTCTTTGCAAAAGTCTTCGTACTTTTGGAATAGATCCTTCTTGACGGATGAATTCTTCCCTGAGAGATAGTTCTTTGTCATTTCAGCGGCATAAATACTGGTGCTCATGTTCGCGTTGATGCCGGGGGAGTATAGTGGATTGGTAAAACCAGTTGCATCACCAATGGCCAGCCAATTGTTTCCAGTAACTCGTGGGGCACGGAATGCCAAATTCTTGCGCACGAACCAGGTGGTACCGGGACCGTAGAGATCCTCGATAAGTTTGTGCTTTTCCATTAGTTGAGTAACTTTCTGGTATCGAGAAACAATCCAGTTGAACTTCTGTTCCGCTTCGCTACTTCCGAAGCTGGAAAGATTCTCTGGGTAAACAACATCGGAACGAAGTGCAAATCCAATGCTAACAACCCACCGAAATTTGACCTGGAATCTCGCGACTAATTCAGGTACTGAAGGATAGGAGTCTGCTGGTGCTTTGGCCGCATTGAGATCCAACAGATGATTGATCATGGTTGTAAGGTTAGGGATAGAGCTACCCTCCCATGAAGGAAGTCTAATGACCCAAGCCCATCTAAAAAGACTGTATTAGCTTTTGTTGTTCAACCAAATCCCCAAAACTAGAACATACCCTTCAGGCAGACATATATGATTTGTGTTGACACTTTCGTAATGTCTCAATGGTATATCAGACTCATCTCCTAGTTGTTCAAAGTACGCCCAGTACGCATTCGTATTGAACCCTTCTACACGTTCAATACGTGCCTCTTTCGAGATGAAGCGGTGGAATCGTCCTGTGGCATCAACTACCAGCTTCGCGTCCACAGATTCTTCCACCATTGTCTCGGAGTCTCGTACTTGAAGAGACATTCCATCATTTTCGTCTGTTGCCGTGGACTTCTTATCAATAACGACCTCTCTTCCATGAAGAACTGTTATTCCAAGGCGTTGCGCATAGAGTGTGAGCATCAGTTCACTGATTTTTCTCTCGACTTGGAGTGTTGGTACAAAATCTGCAGCAGGTCCATTTGCCACAAACTGAGTGTAATCTTCTGGATCACCTTCGGAGGAAAAGTAGAAAAATGCCAAGCCATCTTTCGGTCCAAAAAGTCTTGAAAGCATCGGAGTTTGGATCCCGACAGTTTTGAGCCAAAGTCCAAACACTGTTAATGTTGACTCGCCGATCTTGTAAGTTGGGCTGGCTGACTTTTCTAGGATGGTTAGGGATGTGAGGTTTCCCTCTGTGATTCAAGTTAGCAAGTGCATGAAACTAATGTTGGTCGATAGATGATACCCATTCTTTGGACCCTTTGTCATATTGGCGTAATACTGCCCATGGAAATTAAAAAAAGTGGATTAAACTTACTGCCATTTTGAAGCTCCAAACTCCTTGCGTGAATTGCATAAATCAAAGCATGGATTCCTCCGCCGACAACAACAACGTCAGAACTCTGCGGCAGTTTATTGCCACATGAGTTGTATGAATTCAAATACGCAGTATCTGAAATTTGTTGACTAGTTGTCGCGACGACAAGACCCGCAAGAAGATCAAAAAGTTTGAGACCCATTATTCTTTGCAAAACAGCATTGCGTGCATCTTGGTTGAAATCCAAGCTTGGATTTACTTCTGTAGCCATAGTTCTTAAAATTATTCGGCACAAAATTAATGTTGGGGTAGTGAATGGTCAGCAGTATGAGGAGGTTGAATCAATCAGAGAAAGATTTTCTTGTGTTACAAAGCTGCTTGCATACATTCAAATATATATGATTTAATGTTTGATATCCAACGCCAAGCATCGTCATCTACTTTTACATTGCCTGTAAGATAGATCTCGATGATAGACGTCGTACCCCATTATTAGAATGGTCGTACAAGATTAAAGTAAGCTGGAGGCGGGAATCTTTGCCAAGGACGGGAGTTGTACAATCGAGTAGTCGACATGGTCACACATTGATGTCAATAATCTATCACCGCGTATTAGAAGCAAGCAAACGATGTCACACTTCGGACCCCAAATCCGAAAAAATCCCACTTTCCCATGCTTTAGGCGCCCGCTGGTATCATACATCATCTTATATACCCTCACATCAGATAGTCTGTGGAGTTACGAGCTGTTCATACTGTGATCAATGCCTCGGCTCTCCATCATAAAACGAGTCGACCATCCGCCTCATTTTTGCCCACTTTATGTCAGTTTATTATGGATCATGGTTAAATTTAGCCTTATCTGGTCTCTTTTGGGTTACAATAGATGTTCCCCAGAAGTTTCGGATCCATGGTCTCGGGGCTGTCTCGAAGCATTGACCATTCCATGCACAGTCTGTCATCAGAAAGCTGTTAATAATCCTCCATTCACCTCGTTTGGATTTGGGAAAGGGGCAGGGCAGACGCTTACCAGATAACACTTTTAATTTCAATTTGGTGTTGGGTTCAGACCGACTCTATATTCACTTTTGTCCGTGAATGGAAAGTTAATTTCTTTCCTAACCCCGTTCTCTCCATTTTTGTATATTACTCAATTTAGCGACAACGCTGTAGGGCGTTTCCCTTGATAGTTTATAAAAATACTTCAAGTCATGCTTTCTTGCATCATCTAGCTCCAGATTATGCCATCTTTCTCAACACTATCAATATGTTGAAGCTTATCACGCCGGTTCGACAGTACCATGTCGCTCATTTACCCGTTCGATATGCAACGGCTTCGCTTCAGAACTACACTCGTGGCTTTCACAATAAGCAACAGTTTCTGGGAAATTCCAGAAGGAGTTTATCAACCCATACCATTTCTGAACCCAAGCCTCTTCAAGCAAGTACCCAACCTAAAAACCATCACAATGAAACATCTTCCGATATCGCAAAAGAACATCCTCTGGGAACCATGCGGCCGGTCAAGGTCATCAGCATCGGAGCAGGAGTCAGCGGTATCAACATGGCTCGAGCTCTGAAACAATACGGTACCAACATCGAACATGTAGTCTATGACAAAAATCCTGAAGTCGGTGGTACATGGTTTGAAAACTGTTACCCCGGATGTGCATCCGACGATCCTTCCCACAATTATCAATTCTCTCACACACCAAATCCTGGTTGGAGCTCCCTGTTTGCACCAGCGAGCGAAATACAAGATTATTTACAGGATGTGTGTAGCAAGTATGAGTTGAGAGATCGTATCAGATTGTCGCATAAGATTATTCATGCGCAGTGGAATGAAGGATCGGCAGAATGGGTCTTGCGGATTGAGAATCAGGTTACGGGTGTGATGTTTGAAGATCGATGTCATTTTTTGCTTAATTCGGGTGGGATGTTCAAGTAAGTCTGGGTTATTCTTTGAGTATTGCAAACTTGGCTAACGAGAAATAGTGATTGGAAGTGGCCAGATATCAGGGGTCTACACTCTTTCAAAGGAGATCTCGTTCATTCTGCAAAGTGGCAGAAGGATGTAGATCTCAAGGATAAAAGGGTAGCCGTTATTGGAAATGGTGCATCTGGTGTCCAGATTGTTCCAGTCCTACAACCAGGTAAGATCACCCGATGGTGAAAGAGATGATCGTATAGCCAGCTTCTGACCACTGTGTAGAAGTCACAAAGCTTTCCCACTTCGTCAGGACAAAGACTTGGATTTCGCCCAACAGCAAATCAGTGTCCCATATCATGGAACAGTACGAGCTAGATGCTGCGCACAAGTTTTCCGAGAAACAAATCCAGAAATTTCGCGAAGATCCAATAAAATACACAAAGTTTCTTAAGGCTATTGAATCCTTATCTAACAAAAGATTCAAGACAGTAAGTGCTTTACCGAGCTTACCCATCAATAAACACTAACCTAAACCATAGATCCTAAGAGGCAGTCCCGAAGCACTAGAAGCCAAACGCGTCATTTCTCTGTACATGGCCGAAGCCCTCAACTACGACAAACATCTCATCGAAGCCTTACTTCCCGATTTCCCTGTCGGATGCAGAAGAGTTACACCCGGCGTTGGCTATCTGAAAGCTTTAACACAACCAAATGTCGACGTAATCACATCCGGTATTGAAGAAATACAACCTAACGCCATCAAGCTTACAAATGGTGAAATCATAGAGGTTGATGCAATAGTCTGTGCTACGGGTTTCAACTGCTCTTTCGTTCCACGTTTTCCGATCGTTGGAGAGAATGGAAACCTACAGGATTTGTGGAGAGATAATCCGAGTCAAGCGTATATGTCATGCATGGTTCCTGGAATGCCAAATTATATCAGTAAGTTCTCCCTCCCAACTTGTTCCCCTCTTGCCTACAAACTAACACCGTCCAGCATTCCTCGGTCCCAATGGTCCATTAGCACACGGTGCCATTCCCATAATAACAGAACAACTAAGTGCTTTCGCTCTAAAGTTCATCCAGAAATGTCAACTCCAGTCAATTTCCTCCTTCAGACCTCTACCCGCAGCAGTAACAGACTACGCAGAACATATAGCGCAATTTATGCCCCGAACGGTATGGACAGATAAGGGAGTAAGAAGTTGGTATCGCAATGGAAAAAGTGAAGGACCAGTTTTGGCGCTGCATCCGGGAAGTCAGGCGCATTTTTTCCATATGTTGGAGGCGCCTCGGTGGGAGGATTTTGAATGGAGGAGAAAGGAAGATGCAAGGGACAACAGGTTCAAATATCTGGGGAATGGATTTTCCGTGAAGGAAAGTGAGATGGGAGGCGATGATACGTGGTATTGGGGAGAAGCGGATAAAATGTGAAGTCTTAATTAATGATAGGAAATAATATGGGGAGTGGGGTATGATATTACTATTTGAATTGTGAAGGAAACAGAATATTCTGGATTTGTTCGAGAATAGCTGGCTGTTTGGAACATATGGAAGGGTTTCTGGAGCGAATAAAGCAAATGGGATGTCTTAAAACTGAGATGAATGTGGATGAGATAAAGGATCTGTAATTTGAAAGATCTTGATCCATTCTTAGACTATTAATCACGCAATGGAATTGCTTAATCGTATCTGCATTTTGGATAACCCCGCTGCTATTATAAAGTACCTCACTGTGTTCCTTATACACTCCGAAGCGAAGTGTTAGTACTGCTTCTCAATCCACTGATTTCGCTATGGCTTACTAGTCATCGATACCGAGCATCGGCTCGTTATTACAAAGCCTTATGTTCATACTTTCACAGCTTGAGCACAACGGTACATTCACATTCACAGATCTCAAGAATCGACAAGTTGACCGTCACATTAATTGTCACACAGGATCGAAAGTACAGCAATAACGAGCGGAATTCTGATATTCCAAATTTATGTTGCATTTCTGAATGTTCACCATAAGAAATCACTTAGAGAGCGTTAGAGTCTCCAGTATTGGGGAGACAATGCTCCCTGGAAATGGAACTCTCCAGCCATCAACATGACCACTTTCGAGATTGGTTCTTTGGCATCTTAAATCTCGTCCAAAACCGTCAAAGCCGTCCAAAACGTTTAATGAACAATCGTCTGAAGTGACGATTCTGATATCCCAGATGTGTGTCCCTTCATGCTGCACTGGAAAGTCAAATATTCACTCGAGACACGCTTCTGACTTCAGTCGCTATCAGATTCCATTCAAATTAGCCGAATCATTTATTGAAAGTGAATGAAGCAAAAACATTGATTCTACGGCATATTCACGTACTACGGCCATTCTTCGCCAATGGACAGTCTGTTATTGAATCTAGATAACGATACGGCTGCCAAATGGATATAAAGCGCACGACTTTTGCGACTGAACTTCCTCCTTTTTTTTTTCGACATAACGAGCAACATAAAGAGAAACAAGGCTGCGCAAAAACACGACAGGCATACCATCATAAGATATATCATCCTTTTGCTGACTTGAGAAGACACTCGGGCTCGCCAGTCGCAAACTTTTGAACCTATACCGACAAGTACCAGGAATTACTATCTCCATTGTTCGATATCTTCAGCCAGATCAATTACCTCGAAGATAACGCTTCCCTATATAACTTTATTTCATTTTATACTGGTCAACCAACAACCAATAGTGTTACTACACAATGGCTGGTAAACCACTTTCCAGATTGGGAGGAAAGAAGGATGAAACAACAGCAATACTAACATTTCTGCTAGCACGTTTTGCGAAAATCCATCGTTCGGCGGAGGAGCGATTCAACGCGTCGAGAGGTGAAGGTCACACACTTGAAGCCTTGGAATGTCGATTTCAGAGAGAATTACAACTTCATACGAACCTTCGCACCAATGCTGCGCAAATCTCCAAAGCTGTTTTGAACCTTGTTCAACAGGCTCGAGCGACTGAATTTCATAGGGCTGATGAATTACCTACTCTGGAGAACTTACAATCACCTCCACCAAAGATTCGATCTACGAGAGCTCGGGCATCTATACCTGCCACTCTTAAGCCTAAGTTGATTGTGAAATTGAAGGTCAAGAATGCTTGCTTCGAGCCGACAGTGGTACAATTTCCCTCTACCAGCGCCTCTTCGCACACGCCGACAGGATACGTAAAGTGGCAAATTTGCAAATCTGGAGCGCCAGTGTCAGCTGAGATACCCACAGTTGTACGTCCCGAGACTTTGGAATATAAGGGTGATAATCTAGATCGAGATCAGCTGTATTATAATGCGCTTGCGCGTAAG